ACTCTCAGCAATACACTGGTCCAAGACAACTCTGCGGGACTTAATGACCAAAAACGATATCCATACCTAGACAAAGAATGGATGGTGTGTAAACACTGACTGAAGCATACTTTTAAGAACTTATTTTTCTTGAGGTTCTTTTGTCTATGTTTTTTCACAACATAACTATTATGGATATGTTTTGCATGACTACATATGTATAACCTATATGGAATTGCTTGTTTTTTCAAGGGGGGGAGGAAAGGAGAGAATTTCAAACTCAAATTTTCAAAAATGAACGTTAATTGTTTACATGTAACTGGAAAAACAAAATACTAAATAAAAGCTAAAAATAGATTAATCACTGTAACAAACTGTACACAAAATATACAGAAGCAATCAAGCATAGTAGCCTAGTGTTTGATAATCCCAGTGATCCATCTATTCGGGTAAGAATTTCCTATTTAACACACACTTTTTGAAAAACTGGAAAGCAGTTTCACATGAACTATTATAATCCAACTTCTCATACCATATACAAAGATAAACTCCAAATAGGGATATGACTTAGACACAATGGGTGACAGCAGAGAAATTAGAAAATCAAGAAAGAAATTACCTGTCACATCTGGTGGTAGTCCTTCTCCATCAGTCTTGAAGAGGACCAAAATGATATCACTGTATTGGTCAAGGTACAGTCTATTCAACTGTAATAATCAGATCAATATGAGCTTGGAAAGCTCTACCTCAAGTCAGGCACAAATAGTCCATGCAAACATTTGGAGTGGAGATGTCTCTAAATTTGTGCAGTTCACATATCTTTTGAGCTACTGCAATTCTGCTTTGCTCACAGAACACAGTGCCTTCTTTGACAGGGATATACCATGTGGGTTGGTCCTTTGCCAATGTCTCCCATGTCACACAAGTGATTCCGAAGTTCTTCAGAGAGACATTAGAAGTGTCCTTGGTATTGCTTCTTTTGACCTCATGGGAGAACTTGCTTTGTGTGAGTTCTCCATACAATACTCTTTTAGGTAAACATGGGTTTGGCATTCAAAAAGCAAGGCCAGCCAATTGGAGTCTCACTCTCTGCAGTACAGTTGGAATGCTTGGCAGTTCAGATAGAGAAAGGATCTTAGTGCTGGGTACTTTGTCTGGCCACTTTATCTTCAGAATCTTCGAATGACAATTCAAATGTAAGTGATTTGGTTTCATGGCATGGCACTGGTATCCTGTCCAGGTTCAGTTATACAAGAATGAGTCAGCACAACAGCTTTGCAGACCTTCAGTTTCTTACACATTCCAATACATCTTTTTCTTCACACTTTCTTTATGAGCCTGACAAACACTGAGCTAGTTATGGCAATGTATACGTCAATCTCATCTTCTATGTGTACATCCCTGAAAGTACACTGCCAGGGTAAGTGAACTTATCCACAGCATTCAATATTTCTCCATTTCGAGACAGCTAGTGGATAGAGCACTGGCCCTGGATTCAGGAAGACCTGAGTTCAAATCCAGCCTCAGACACATAACATTTACTACCTGTGTGACCCTAGGAAATCACTTAACATTGCCCAATCAAAAAAATATTTTTTTCTCATTTGTAACCAATGATTCCACACATGGATTTTGTGGTGCTGGCTGGTAGAGAGCCTGTGTTTTTTTTGGTGTTAATCGTTAGGGCAAAATTAGCAGAAGGGGCAGACAACTGATCTATACTTTCTTGCATCTCAGCTGAGGAGACTGCACTGAGTCCACAACCATCTGCCAACAGAACGTTGCACACCGACTCTCCCTCCACTTCAGTCTTGGCTTGTAGCCTTTTGAAGTAAAATGATTTACTGCCTGTGAGGTAGCTGACCTTGATGCCATTTTTCTCTTCACTGAAGGCATCTGACAACATCGCTGAAAACACCCCTCAAAAGCATGGAAGCAAACACACAACCCTGCTTCACTCTATCGGTGACTGGAAAGCTTGAGATCATCACCCATTATGCAGAACTTTTGCAAGCATGCCATCATAAAATTGGAGTACAATACTGATAAACTTCTCCAGGTAACCAAATTTTCTCATAATTTTCGACAAGCCTTCATGACTGACAGAAAGTATCAAAGGCTTTGATTGGTGAGACCAATAACACTGTATACAGACCTCTGTTCTGCTCATGGCATTTCTCCTGTACCTCTGGGGCGGCAAACACCATGTTGACCATTTCTTGTCCTTTCTAAAGCCACACTGAGTGTCAGGTAGATGACCATCTTCCAGGTAAACAATTAGCCTATCGAGGAGGACTCTAGCAGGGATCTTCCTGGCAATAACTAAGAAAGAGACCCCTATGTGATTTTCATAGGACAGTCTATTTCTTTTCCCTGTATAGAGATGGACGATGGAGGCATCCTTGAACCCCTGAGGAATTACCTCCTCTTGTCATGTAATACCAAAAAATTGAGTTAGGTTTTGTATGGGCACTGGACACCTTGCCGCGTAAATCTCAGCTGAAATAAAATAAACACCAGGCACTTTGCCACACAACAGGAGCCTAACAACATTCAAAGCCACTTCTTCAGTTGGAAACTTGGCTACAGAGACTGACTTCAACGTGAGGTAAATGGTCAGTGGCTTCATCATTGATTGATGGTGGTCTACTGAGAATACTATGGAATTGTTCAGCCTGTCTCACCAAGATCACATCCTTAACACTAATCAATGTGGCTCCATCAGCACTGAGTAGTTGAAATGCACCATAGGTCTTGGCCCATAAATAGCCTTCAGAACATCACAGAAGCACTTTGGATTGTTACTATCAGCATCAAACTGAATTTCATCTGCCTTCTGACTGAGCCAAGAATCTTGCATCTTTCTAAACTTTGCTTATGCTTTACTTCTGATGAAGGTAAATGCCGCCTTCTTAGAGATGGATGGCAAACCTGCTGGTAAACCTTGTGGAGTACTAATTTTTCTTTTAGCAGCTTCTGAATTCCACTCCACTTTTGTCAAACCAAGTGTGATGCTTGTGAACATTCTGGGCTAGATGAGTAAATGCAGTGCTGTACACCAAATATCTGTAAGCTGCCCACTCTTTTTTTTGGGGGGGAGGGTGAGGAAATTGGGGATTAAGTGACTTACCTACGGTCACATAGCTAGTAAGTGTCAAGTGTGTGAGGCTGGATTTGAACTCAGGTGCTCTTGACTCGAAGGCCAGAGCTCTATGCATTGTGCCACCTAGCTGCCCCCTGCCCATTCTTTTTCTGCTCCACTGTTGCTAATCCTGTGTTGGCTCAATTTTCTCTCCAAGTTAGCAATGAACTGTCCCTGCTCAGAGAAGAGATCTAATCTGCTGACAATAACTCATCTGTTAGTTGTGTTTCCTTGGTACCGGCACATTTGTGGAATGTGAATATTTAGCACGGAGAGGATAAATCTGTATTTAGTCTCGCACTCTGCACCGCACATCCCTTTCATTACTCTCACATCCTGTCTGCCTCTTCTCCTTAAAATGACATAGCTTGTTAAATGCCAATGTTTCTGTGAGTGTGAATTCATGAAGTCTTTTTGCACTGAGGTAAATGGAAGACCGTGTTGTCATGAGGTGCACACGTCTTCAGCAGTAGGTGACTGTTGCTGCTTTTGACTCCATTTCTCCCAAGGACTCTCTTCCATGTCTGGGAGTCTGTGCCTATATTTGCACTTAAGTCACCCAGAATGATGAACTTGTCCTCTTTCAGCTATGGATGATGAGCGTCCCCAGATGTTCATTAAATTTTTCTTTGACCTCATTTGGGATCATCATAGTGGGAGAATATGTACTGATGTGGGTGGTGTAGTTCTTGATTCCAAGTCTTTATGGTCCACGCTGCCTACTCAAATTAACATGAACAGAAGGAGGTATACCAGCAAAATGAGGAACAAAGTTCATTATGATTAATCAGATTATGATTTATTCCCGAAGCACCGTCAACCACTATTCATCACTCATTAGGCGCAGGCTCATCTGATGGCCAAGAGGTCATCCCCAAGCATCTTCCACACCACATTCCCAGGGGTCAAAGTTAGTACTAAGGCTCTCCCAATACCATTGTCCACTCAGTAACCTGTGACACAGCCAGCATAACCTCTCCATCCCTCAAGGCCCGTGGGAGGATAAACTAAATCTTTGCCCCTTTAGAGGTCTCTACAGAGGGAGGGATACCTTCTTCTCCCGTGCAGCCTAAGTAAAGATTCTCTGAACTACATCTAGGGACTCAGAATCACAGTCTAGTCAGCTGGGGGAATCTTCCCACACTTCTTACATTCATGAAGAATCACTCCAGCATGAATTCTCTGATGGACATCAAGTAGGTCCTTCGTCTAAAGGCTTTCCCAAATTCAAAAGGTTTCCCTCCAGAATTAAGTCTTTGATGTTGAGCAAGTTGTGTCTTCAGCCTGAAGGTCTTCTCACATTCACTGCGTTCATAACATGTTCCTCTAGTATGAATGCTCTGATATTGAGTAAGACCTACACTCAAGTGGAAGGCCTTTCCGTGTACATTACATTCATAAGGTATGATGTGAAGTTGAGTAACATCTGACTTCTGAGAGAAGGGCTTCCTACACTACTCACATTCATAGAGAATTTCTCCAATTTGAATTCTCTGATGCACAGTAAGGTGTAACTTCTTTCCAAAAGCCTTCTCACATTCACTATATACATAGGGGTTTTTTGCAGCATCAATTTTTGATGTTTAATAAGATCTGAGTTACAATGGACTTCCCAGACTCCTTACATTCATGAGGAATCTTATAAATTCTCTGATGCACATAAAGTAGTATCCTCAGTATAAAGGACTTCCTACATGCATTACACATTTAAGGCTTCTCTCCTGAATGAATTTTTTGGTGTTGAGAAAGCTATATGTTCACTCTGAAACTTCCCATATTCATTACCTTCATTAGCCTTCTCTGCAGCATGAATTTGTGTCGAATAAAATCTGAGGTGTAGAGAAAAGCCTTCCCACACTCTACATTCATAAGGAATGTCTCAAGAATGAATTTTCTGATGCACAGTAAGAGACGCCTTTCTCTGGAAAGCCTTCTGACATTGATCACATTCATAAGGTTTTTCTCCAGTATGAACTCTTTGATGCCGAATAAGTTCTGATTTATACAGGAAAGCCTTCCCACACTCCTTACATTCAAAAAGAATGTCTCCAATATGAATTTTCTGATGCACAGTAAATTCTGTTTTACTCTTAAAGGCCTTTCCACATTCACTACATGCATAGGGTTTCTCTCCAGTATGAATTCTCTCATGCACTGTAAGTTTCGAGTTACGCATGAAGGTCTTCCCACATTCACTACATTTGCAAGGTTGATATCCAGTATGAATTCTCTGATGCCCAGTATGACCTGCTTTTGTCCCAAAGGCCTTTCCACATTCACTACATCGATAAGGTTTCTCTCCAGTATGAATTCTCTGATGGTCAGTATGATGTGCTTTTGTCCTGAAGGCCTTCCCACAAAGACTGCATTGATAAGGTTTCTCTCCATTATGAATTATTTGATGTCGAATAAGATTTGAGTTCTGTGGGAAAGCCTTTCCACACTCCTTACATTCAAAAAGGAAATTACAATATGAATTCGCTGATGCACATTAAGATGTGCCTTTCTTGTGAAGGCCTTTCCACATTCCCTACATTCATAAGGTTTTTCTCGAGTATGAATTTTTTGATGTCGAATAAGCTGAAAGTTGTAGAGGAAAGCCTTCCCACACTCCTTACAATCATAAAGGTTCTCTCCAGTATGAATTCTCTGATGCACAGTAAGCTCTGACTTAATCCTGAAGGCCCTCCCACATTCACTACATTCATAACGTTTCTCTCTAGTATGAATTTTTTTATGTCGAGTAAGATCTGAGCTGTAGAGGAAAGCCTTCCCACATTCTTTACATTCATAAACAATGTCTCCAAAATGAATTTTCTGATGCACAGTAAGAGATGCCATTGTCTGGAAAGCCTTCTGACATTGACCACATTCATAAGGTTTCTCTCCAGTATGAACTCTTTGATGTCGAATAAGTTCTGACTTATACAGGAAAGCCTTCCCACACTCCTTACATTCAAAAAGAATGTCTCCAATATGAATTTTCTGATGCACAGTAAATTGTGTTTTACTCTTAAAGGCCTTTCCACATTCACCACATGCATGAGGTTTCTCTGCAGTATGAATTCTCTCATGCAGTTTAAGTTTTGAGTTACGCGTGAAGGTCTTCCCACATTCATTACATTTGCAAGGTTGATCTCCAGTATGAATTCTCTCATGCTCAGTATGACCTGCTTTTGTCCTGAAGGCCTTCCCACATTCACTACATTGATAAGGTTTTCTCCAGTATGAATTCTCTGATGCTCAGTATGACTTGCTGTTGTCCTGAAGGCCTTCCCACAAACAGTGCATTCATAAGGTTTCTCTCCAGTATGAATTTTTGATGTCGAATAAGACTTGAGTTGTATGGGAAACCCTTCCCACACTCCTTACATTCAAAAAGAAACTTACCAATATGAATTTGCTCATGCACATTAAATGTGCCTTTCTTATGAAGGCCTTTCCACATTCCCTACATCTATAAGGTTTTTCTCCAGTATGAATTTTTTGATGTTGAATAAGCTGTGAGTTGAATGTGAAAGTCTTCCCACACTGCTTACATTCATAAAGCATCTCTGCAGTATGAACTCTCTGATGTACTTTAAGTCTTTCCTTACTCCTAAAGGTCTTTTTACATTCACACATTCATAAGGTTTCTCTCCAGTATGAATTCTCTGATGCACTATAAGATGCTCCTTACTCCTGAAAGCCCTTCCACATTCCTACATTCATGGGGTTTCTCTCCAGTGTGAACTCTCTGATGCAGTGTGAGCTGTGTCTTAATCCTGAAGGCCTTTCCACATTCACTACATTCATAAGGTTTTCTCTCCAGTGTGAACTCTCTGATGCACTGTAAGTTGTGTCTTAATTCTAAAGGTCTTTCCACACTCACTGCATTCATACGGTTTCTCTCCAGTGTGAACTCTCTGATGCGCAGTAAGCTCTGCCTTACTGTTGGAGGCTTTCCACACTCACTACATTCATAAGGCTGCTCTCCAAGTGTGAACTCTCTGGTACACTATCAGTTGTGTCTTGATGCTGAAGGCCTTCCCACACCCACTACATTCATAAGGTTTCTCTCCAGTGTGAACTCTCTGGTGCACTATAAGTTGTTTCTTAATCCTGAAGGCCTTTCCACATTCACTACATTCAAAAGGTTTCGTTTTCTCTCTAGTATGAAATTTTTGATTTTGAGTAAGAAATGAGTTATAGGGGAAAGCCTTCCCACACTCCTTACAGTCATAAAGCTTCTCCCCAGTATGAATTCTCTGATGCACAGTAAGCTCAGACTTACTCCTGAAGCCTTTCCCACATTTACTACATTCGTAAGGTTTTTCTCCAGTATGAATTGTCTGACACACAGCAAGATGCTCCTTGCTCCAGAAGGCATTCCCATATCCATTACATTGAAGAGGTTTATTTCCAGTAAATTCTCTGCTCTCTGAAAGGAAGAATACAGAGCTGATTAACCCTGTCTTTTTCACCCTTTCCCAAGGCTCTTAGTTGCTCAAAGGTTTTGGAGCTATTCTCTTGCCTTCCCACTTGAGAAGGCCAGTCTCACTAGCCTTCCCCTAGAGATTGGTTTATCTTATGTGAAAGTGTGATGACTCAAACATAACATGTAAATGAATTGACATAAGATGAAATTACCAAGGGGGATGAATGAACCCTTACTCTACTTTCATTGGCTGACATTTGAATGGAAAAGAATGTTCAGAAAAAAAGCCCAAGAGATGATTTTGATGTTTCCTTACCCTCTGAGGTGAAAATACGAAGGGAAAAGACTGAACAGAAAGAAAATACAGAACTAAGTTTAGAGTGGGGAAGAGAAAGAGATATAAGAAGTCAACAGAATAAAGAAGAAATATGAGGGTGAAAACATGACAACTGTTGCTATAAATTTCCTCTAAAAATCTAACATATCTACTTTGTAAAAAATTGATTGAAATTTGTGAGATGTAGACCTATGGTGTTTTTGACAAGAGAAATTACTAATAATTACCTGAAACATTACTCAAACTCTGATAATCAAAGAAGCATAAATGAAAACAATTTTTGAGGTAGCAATAAACAGCCTTCAGATTAGCAAGATACTCGAAAATGATAAAGTTTGGGAATTATGTTAAAATACCTACTTATTAAAGCTGCTGCTGCTACCATTTTCCTTAAAAGATAGGAATTTCGGCTAGAGCTACAAAACTGTTCATAGCCTTTCACCCAATGGCCCCAGTAGTAGGTCTGCAGCCTCAATATGTTACTGAAAGCAAACACAGCACTCTCAGCAAATTTTCACAACAAGCTTTCTGTAAAAGAGCAAAATAAAAGAGGGCAGCTAGGTGACACAATGGAGAGAACACTGGCCCAGAAGTCACCAGGACCAGAGTTCCAATCTGACCTCAGAACAACAATTGCTATGTAATAGCTGTGTGATCCTGGGAACATCCCTTAACCCCACTGCCTAAAAAAAAAAAAATCCTTAAGAAAAATAGCAAAATAATAAAAATCTGTAGGTCCAATGATGGTGTTATGGCTACATAATTCCTGTGACATGAACATATTAAAGTGCCTTTATAAACACAATTTCAAAGCATAAAGAAAAAAACAGGATGACACATAACATGACAGGCTGAAGAAAGGGGAATTAGGTTAGGATTATTTTAAAAGTAGCAGCAAAGCAATATAATCATAGACACAAACAAGAAAATATCAGAAAAGAACTCACAAGGAAAAAGAGCACACGACTTAAGACTTTCAATACTGTGCTTACTTTACAAGAATGAATTCATGCAAATGAGGCAGATGAACTAAGGTGATCTTCAATGAACAGAAGAGATATAACTGCCCTGTACTGAGGCAACAACTTTCTTTGGGAGTGGAGGTACATTACAGTAAGGAGATACATTGAAAAACTAACTTCTTGAGGTAAAAAAAAATGAAGTTAAAACTCTCAACTCCTCTCAACAGGGCAGAGAAGCTTTGACAGACCACTCTGTTCAATGTTTTTCAAGAGCTTTGACCTAAAATGAACAACAGATTACAAGTTTGCAATGACTCATCTGCTTGGTTTTATGTAGTCACCTGGACAGCTGCTTCTTGGAATATCTGCCTCTGGCAGGGAAGACACTTCCTTTCTTTCCAACTGGTCACTGTCATTTGGTCTGGAAGCTGCAATCCTGTTCATTGAAAATGAAAAAGTGCTAGGCAGTCATCTCATATCGACTTCCATCATTAAAGAGATAGATGAAATACTCCTCCTCCAACTTTACTAGAAAGGTGGGGGAATAAGGCTGCTAGACATAGCTTATACACCCAAAAGCACTATGTTAGTTGATTTTGTCTGACTTTTTTTCTTCTTCTTCAATCATGGGAGCTCAGTGGGTTGGTTGGAGGAAGAAGTAGGGTTTTTTGTTTCTTTTTATTGTTTTTTTTTTCAGGTTGCAAAGGAAGGAGAAATTAAATTTTTTTTCAAAAAGTATCCACAAAACTTAATAGAAGAATTCAAAACAAGTTCAGACTCTCTTTGGAAAAAAAGTACGCATGCTAGGAAGACCTCAAGGATAGTACAAAAGACCACTGGAAGGATACTCTGTATTATGGTAAAATGGATTACTGAGTAGGACTCGAGAAAAAAACAGTTCATTTGACTTACTGACTGCTTAGGCAGTGGGAATACTGCATGATGAACCCTACACTGGGATTAAAAAGAATATCTTGGATTTGAGGTAACAGAGAGGGGAAGATACATTCTCAAGGATAACAAAAAAATCAAGAAATCAATTTCCAGGCATACTAAGCTTGGACCTTTTTCCTGAAAACAGGTAGCACAAGTAATCTGTCTCTTGGCTACAAATGGATTAGGAAGAGTTTCCTTTGCATGCCAAAGAACAACTGTTAAAATCTTGCTCTCATAGTATATATCAAGACTCCAAAGGGGTAGCTGTTCTTACCCAAAGACACCAAGTTCCTATAGTTCTCCAGCATCACATCCCTGTACAATTTTTCTGAGATGGGTTCAATTGTACCCACTCTTCCTGGGTGAATTCCACAGCCACATCTTTGAATGTCACTGATTCCTGAAATACCAAAAACATTTGTGCTTACCCAGCTATAGCACTTAACTGTTATGAAGTTCAAATATAAACTACTTGCTATTAAGGTGAGGGAATTGAGGGTTTTAGGACAGCAAGTGGTACAGGGAATTGAGGCAACTGAGTCAACCACACTGACTCCATTTTGTGACTCAATTCTGCAGGTAGCTCAGTTCTTTTTCTGTTCAATCACAGGTCTAGTCCAACTTCTATATTTTGAGAAAAATTTATTCAGTTGTGGGAATTGGCAGATAACCTAATTGCATTGTTTGAACTTAGCCTTGCGTGGCTCAGAAATGAGACCTACTCTAGCTGCTGTTTAGTCCTTAAGGACCTAGGTCATGCTGATCAGAAACCCAGTGAAATGCAAAAAGACTGATATAAGGAGTTTTCTCATAATTTTACATGTGAAGCAACTCATATGTCTTATCTGAAAACTGCCCCCTACTGAACAATTAATTATTGCTGCCATGTTCCTTTCATTGTATACTACTTTGGGGGAGTGGGACACCTCATTCTGAATTGAGGGAACTGAACCTGTTGCCTTTCCCCCTCCCAACATGAAAAGTCCCCAGTAGTTTCTGCAATTAGAAATCAGATTACCTAACACTTTATTATTTGCTTTTAATTAACTGCTCTTCTTTGATTGCTTTTAATTCATAAAAGTATACCCTCCCCTATTTAGGATCCAGCCCTAAGTTGAGGAAGGGGCCTGGTCCCACTTTTCTATGCAATTGCAATACATTGCTTAATATACTGATATGCCCAAAAGACTGAACCTTTGTTTCTTCAGCCATTTCATCTTTCTCTTGCCATGAGGAATTTTTTCATTTATTTATTTGCATCCCAGTACAGTGTCTAGTATATAGCAGGCACTTAAGAATTCCTCTCCGAAAAAGAATAGAAGTGTGTATAGAATGATTTTACATACACACATACACACACACACACACACACGCACGCACATGCACACATACAGACATTTGTATCTAATGGTAGCCATCTCTAGAGTTGGGGGGGGAGAAAAATTTATACGGAATTTCGTTATATATTTAAAAGGAATAACAAGTTGTAGAGAACAGATATACAATCATCTTTTTTTATTATATACGTATTGGAAATGCTTGTTTTATTCCATATATTAAAAATTAAACAAATAAACATTAAAAAAGAAAGAATTCCTCTCTGATTACTCTGTAAATTCCTTAAGGGAAGGAGCTATTATCGCCATCCTTGGTATCCTCAGCACTTAGCACAGTGCCTGGCACTAGGTAGGTATTTAATAAATGCTTATTGTTGTAAATGGTTCCAACATCAATTTTAAACTAATCCTTCCTTTTTTTTTTTTTACAGTGAACACCTGTAGCTCCTACTTCTACCCTCTGAGCTGAAGGACAAATATGGCTAATTTCTTTTCTACTCGCTGAAATAAACAATGAAAATGAAATAGCTGAAGATAGCTATCCTGTCCAATCTAAACAAACCCAGTTTCTTTGACGAATCAACCTGGTCTCTTCACAAGTAAGATAGCTACCTTCCTCTTTTCATCCAATCGCTGTGCTTCTTAAAATGTGCTGCTCTGAAATGAACACCACTGTGTTCCATGCTCCTGGAACCACAAGGCCAAAGGCATAGGGGACTACAATCTCCTGCCTGTAACAGCATGTAAACACTTTTTCACTACTGAAAAGGGCGTTAAAGGACCATTACTTTCTAATTCATGTATTTAGACAGGGAAGAAACTTAAGAATCTAATTTTCTCATTTTACAAATTAGGGAAGTGAGACCCTCAGAGGGAAAGTTGACTTCCTTAAGGTCACAAGGGGAGCAAGTGCTGGATCTACACTTTGAGCGCAGGTCCTCCTGGCTTCAAATCCAGGGCTATTCTGAATGTACAATGTTGCCATTCCCTTTCAGTATAACCAGACCAAGGCCACCACTGAGTTTTTGGACATAAACATTCATAAGATCACTCTTTGGGACAGCAAAGAACTGGAAACAAACTGAATTCTCAACACTAAAGAACAGCTAGAAAAATATGGCATATGAACAACAGTCATTTATACAGACAAAAGAGAAATATAAGCAATTCTGAGAAGCATTTGAAGACATGCATTAACTGACAGGGCAAAATAAACAGACCCAACAAAATATAATACACAAATACTTCAAAAATATAAATAATCCAAAAAAGATAATGAACTATGAAAAAAAATACTCCATGTGAACATTTGGGGTACATTATCTAAATTTAATCATCTCATATTTCTTCTGAGCTACTTTCATTTTGCTTTGCTCATAGAGTATAGCACCCTCTCAGATGAGGGCACGCCACGATGGGCAATTCTGTACCAGTATCTCCCAAGTCACATAACCCATTGCAAAGTTCTTAAAAGAGACCTTGAGAGTCCTTTCTGTTAGAGCAAAGTAGTAGGAACAAAGGGATACCCATCAACCAGAAAATACCTGATCATTTCATGAAGTGGAATATTATTGTGCCCTAAGAAATCTTGAAAACGATACTTTGAAAGAAAATAGGAAGACTTGCATAAAGCAATGAAGGGAGAAAACAGCAGAACTAAGAAAACAATTTACAAATGACAATACCATTCAATAATCAGCCATAATTCCAGAGAACTGATAATGAAACTTGCTACCTAAATTCTGACAGTAAAGTGGGGACAAACTTGTTTATTTATTTTATATGACTATACTTACTGGCTATAAATGCACTGTTTTTCTTTTTTTACTGGAGTTGCAAGGAGAGGGTAGGATTTAAAAGGAAGAGAGCTAGAGAGAGTCTTGTCAGAAAAAAAGAAAAAGATACACAGAAGAGAACAGAAGGAAGTTGAAAAAGAAAAAGAGGCCAGTTTTAAAAGTCACATGCTGAATTTATTACGCGAAAACAACCCAAAAAGTCTATATGCAAGCCTCAAAGAAACACGCAGGTTAGACCAAAGCCCAACAAGAAGTGATGGAGTTGTGAACTGATCCAACCATTCTGGAGAGCAATTTGGAACTATGACCAAAAGGCCTAAAACTACACATTTTTTAATCCAGCAATACCATAACTAGGTCTGCATCCCAAAGAGATTATAAGAAAGGCAAAGGGACCCACATGTACAAAAATATTTACAGCAGCTCTTTTTCTCGTGGCAAAGAATTGGAAATTGAAAGGATGCCAATTAAATAGGGAGTGGCTGAACAAGTTCTAGTTCTTGAATGTAACAGAATACAATTGTGCCATAAGAAATAATGAGCAGGCAAATTTCAGAATAACAGAGGAAGACTTACATAAACTGATGCTGAATGCAGTGAGCAGAACCAGGGGATTATTATGTACAGTAACAGCAAAACTATGTAATGATCAACTTTGACAGACTTGGCTCTTCTCAGCAACACAATGACGTAAGACAATTCCAAAAGACTCATGAGGAGAAATGCTATCTATATCCAAACAAAGAATTATGCAGACTGAATTCAGAGCAAGCATACTATTTCCACTTTTTTTTGCGTTTTTTTTTGTTTTCTTGTAGCTTTTTCCTGCCTGTTCTGATTCTTCTTTACAACAATTATGTTTAATATGAGTGTATATGTGTAACCTATAGCTGACTGCTTGTCATCTAGGAGAAACGGAAGGAAAGGCTGGGAGGGAAAAAAAAATTTGTAACTCAAAATCAAAAGTGAATGTTGAAAACTATCCTTGTCATTTGCAATAAAAAACTATTAAGTGGAAAAATAAAATATAATTTTGAAAAGAGTTTATAACTCTTTCTCCAATTGGCTAACTTCCTTTTCATAATTTTTTCAATTACTTTTATTGTTTCTCCTAATTTTTCCTTAATCTCTCTCATTAAATTTTTGAGTTCCATTTTAAGTTTAATCAAGAGTTCTTTTTCGGCTTGTGACCATTTAACATTACTTTCTGGGACAGGAGTGGCTTTTTTAATCTCACTATTTTCCTCTGAATATGAACCCAGATACCGTTTATCACCAAAGTATCTATCTACAATTGGGTTCTTTTTCCTCTGCTTGCTTATTATGATTTTCAGCATTTTATTATAATCAAATTTTAATCCCCAAGATCTGGGTAATGTTGCCCTAGGCCTCAAGTCATGCTTACTGTTATTTTCTGAATTCCGTGGAAGGGCTCGACCTCAGGGACTCCTCTCCTCCCTTAAACCACAGTTCAGGCCTCTAGCCATTCTGCCCCCAAAATGTTCTTCGTCCCTGTGGTACTGCACTCACCAGGTTTGTGCTCACTTCTCACCAACAGCTACAACCCCAGATGACTTCTGGTCAGCTCTGGTAGATCTAGCTTTGCGAAACAGAGGGAGGGGGCTGGAGGGTTTTTCAGTCTTCCTACATTCAGCCTTCTGCTGGTCCTTAGGCGAAAGTTTGAGGTGCAACTTTGTGACGAAAAATTTCTCCAGGCCTAGCTTGCTTCCTCACAGAGCTGATCCAGGGCCTCTAATCTGTTGATTCAATGAAGTCAGCCTGGAAGTGACTACACTTCACTTACCCCAACACTCAGCCCTTGGAGGTCCTCTCTTTTCTAAGGTCATCTGAAGTTTTCTTAGAACAACTGCTTTACCCCTTTATTTCTGCTGCTCTCCATTCATTTAATGGCAATTCTCCATGTGTTTGTGGAAGAAATATAGAGAGCATTTTTTTTCTGTGAATTTTCATGTCCTTTTCCATTGGGCCTACCCTGTTTTTTATGGAATTATTTTCTTCAATGTTTTTTTGTGTCTCATTTACCAAGCTGTTGACTCATTTTTCATGACTTTCTTGCTTCACTTTCATTTCTCTCTACTTGATTTTCAAGCTTTTTTAACCTCTTTCATTACCTCACACCAATTAATACCTTTCTTGTAGGCTTCGGATGTAAGAGCTTTGACTTTGTTTTCTTCTGAGTATGTGTTTGGATCTTCCTTGACACCACAGTAATTTTCTATGGTCAGAATGGGGCTCTACTCACTCAGCCTGGGCTCCACTCCCACCAAGGTGCAACAGACCCTTCCTGCTGACCTTCTAAGTTGTTTTTGGCATCTCTAGGCTGAGAGGTCTGGAAACCACCACTGCTGCCAGTAATTCAGTCACCCCAAGGCCTGCTTCCAGTTTGCTGGGCCCTGATTGCACTGGTACAACCTGTGTAGGACTGCACTACTGTCTCACCTTGGTGCAACAAACCTTTCCTGACAACGTTCTAAGTTGTTTTGGGCTGGAAAATTGTTTCACTCTGACTTTTTGTGGGTTCCACTGATCTAGAATTTGTTTAGAATAATTATTAAAGGTATTTGGGGGGGGCTCAGGGGAGTTCCTGCCTTTTTTAAACTGCCATCCTGCTCCAGCTTACATTAAATTATATTAAAAAGGTTTTGTAAAAATGAAACAAATGTTGCCAAGGTCAGAGGTAAAGCAAAAATTACAAAAAATACTCTCTATATGGTCTCAGACAAAGGTCAAGAACTTTATCAAATCTGTAATACAAATCATTCCTTAATTGATAATTGGCCAAAGAATATGAACAGGTAGTTTCTTTATAAGGAAATCAAAACAATTTATAGTCATGTGAAAAAATACTCTAAATCATAATCGATTAGAAAAATGAAAATTCAAACACCTCGAGATATCATTTTATACCTATCAGTGTGGCTGAAATGACAGACAGGGAAAGCAACAAATATTGGGAGGGGATGTGGAAAAATTGGGACACTAAGTCATTCTTGGTGGAACTGTCAACTGATCCAACTATTCTGGGCAGCAACTTGGAATTTTGCCCAAAAAGGTATTAAACTATCCATACTCACTGATCCAGCAATACCAATATTAGATCCATTTCCAAAGATGATCAGGGAAAAAAGAAAAGAACCCATATGTTCTCAAATGTTTATAGCAGCTCTCTTTCTGGTGGCAAAGACCTGGAAATTGCAGGGATGCCCAACAAGTGGTGAATGGCTGAAAAAACTGTGGTGTACGATTGTGATGGATTTTTGGTGTAATATAAAAAAATATGAGCTCAATGATCTTAGAAGGACTTACAGAGAACCAAGGGAAAATTGTATATAATAATAGCAATTTTGTTTTAAGAACGAATTTGAAGGAATAAGTTATTTTGATAACTGTAAATACCTAAATTAAATATGAAGGAAATATGAAGATATTATCTGCATCCAAAGAAATAACTGAAAATTAATGTATACAATAATTTTACATACATATATATACATACAAGCATACATACCACACACACGCTCCTACTTGTGTCTAATGGTAGCCATAGTGGGGAGGACGGAGAAAAAACATTCACATGGTAACTTTGTAATACATTTAAAAAGAATAACAAGCTAAACATAACAGATTTGCAATTTCATATGTAATTCGTTTTTATTCTTTGTTGTGAAAGTGCTTGTTTTATCCCATGAATTATAAATAACGCCAATAAATGTGAAAAGTGAGAAGAAACAGGAAGACTGAGCACAGCAACAGCAGTAATGATCAGCTGTGAAAGACTCAGCCACTCTGATGAATACAATGACCCAGGAAAAGTTTAAAGGACACATTATAAAAAACGCAGAGAACTGATGAACTTTGAGTGAGGACTGAAGCACATTCTTTCTCACTTTCATTTTTCTTTCTGTTTTTGAACCAGGGATAATATACAACTGTTCTGCATTACCTTACAGCCATAATGGCTATCCTATTTTTCCCTTCTCAAAGGGTGGGGGAAGGACTGGAAAGTGGGAAAGGATTTAGAAGTCAAAATTAGAAAAAAAAACACAAAGTAATTGTAAGGTCTTTTTTCTTTTTTTCAGTGTGCAGAGCATGCAGTGGTATCTGTGGTTATATGATTCTCTGATGGCCACAATTCCTAGTGTTACAGCACAGGACAAAGAAACCTATCCCACAGTCTCTGGTCTGAGATGCTATTTGAGGAAAGCAGCAAGTGGCACTCACCTTCCCGGACCTGGCTGTCAGGGCAGGAGCCATTCCCTCTTCCTCCAGGCTGTCCTCCTGGCGCAGAACAGAGGCCACAGAAGGGAGAGCTGGGGAGGAAAGGAGAAGCAGGAGAGTGAGGGGTCACGCCGGGGTCTGCCCTGCTCAGACCAGACATTTCCACTCCTCCACTGATGGGAGATAACGGAGGGGGCAGGGAGCTAGGGGTGTGACTGAAGGGGCATTAGAACCCGTCCCCAAGCTCCGCCTCCGCCTGGTCGGCCTCCAACCCCCCGAACCCCCCCAAGCACTGGCCGCCCCCAGACCCCTGGGAGCGCCTCGGGGCCTTCCTTCCATCTCGGCCGGACGCTCCTCCCATTCTCCCTGAGCTCCCCAGCCAGCCCCCGGTCCTCCGACCCCGCCGCACCCCCGCACCGGCTCCGCCTGGGCCCGGCAACGCTCTAGACCCCCCCCCCCACCCGAACACACTTCAGCCCAGGACAGAGAAGGGGAAGCGGGAACCAGCGAGGGTGGAACAAGCAGAGAGAAAAGCAAGCGGAAGTGGCCTACTAAATAGGAAGTCCAGTTCTCCCTTCCCTGGCGTTGGGAAAATGCCCCGGAGGTGAGCATGGTCTTCTGGGAATCGTAGTCTGAAGGGTGAGGCGCCTTCTGCGCATGCCTGGAGCTCGGCCCTTTCCCCCGTTGTGGAATGTGTACTGCCTCTCTGCCTGCCCCGCCCCTCCCGGCCCTTACTGCCAGCAGGCCCGCCCCCCCCCCGACTCCCTCCCCTTATCTCCTGCGTGGTCGTCACAGCCCCAGAGCCCAGGTGGAGTAGCGAGGCATGGGCTCACAGACCTCGAGGGCTCCTCCGTGGGTAGTCAAGGCCACACTCTCTCCCACTCTGGCACCGTCACAACAGGCCTCGACTCCAATGGAAGGCTTGCTGTGCACTAGCATCCTGTCGCAGAAAGTGACGGAAACACTCAGGGAAGACAGGGCTCTGAGGAGGGAGACCATGGGCTGGGGCAGGATGGCCGGAGCGCTCGCTCAGCCCCCTGGGGCATCCAGGAGGAGCAGGACACGAGTGGGCCCGGGGCAGCAGGAGAGGGCAAGGAGGCGGCGGGCAGGACAAGGCGGTGCTCTCTTTGTGTCTGTTTCCTCTGCCAAGGAGACTGACCGGAAGGAAACCAGGAGACGTGGAGAGCGTTTGGCTGGGCCTGGGGAATGCCAGTGGTCTGCTAGATGGGCTCAGTAAGACTCAGAGCTAACATTTACTTGGTGCTTACTGTGTTCCAAGCCCGGCTAAGTACCTTATAATGACTCTTATTTGGTCTTCACAAAATCCCTGGGAAGCAGGTGCTATTAGACACCATTTTATAGATGTGGCAACTAGGGTGAAGTGACTTGCCCACGGTCCCCCAGCTAGCAAGTGCCTGAACTTGGATTTCGGCTCAGGTCTGGGAGAGGTAACAGCAACAATTGGACAAATTTGATTCCAGAACGTGGCTACTTCTCTGGTGCTTTTCTGAGCTCACAGAATACCTGGTCAAAGCAAAGTCATAATTATATGATTTTGCCAGGGGTGAGCTCACCCAGATGGTGAGGACAGAGGATCATTGTTGTCCCAAGCTTACTTGCTTGCCCTTAGCGCTGGAAAACAGGGTGTCTACGAATATCTTCACAAGAGAATATTGACCAGCAATAATTTAGCCTGCTACTATCAGCCACCAAGACAGCCTCCCAAGCTCCTTATCTGTGGTGCTGCCATCCTGCATTCTGGAGTCCCTGCCTGGTTCAGTGGCAGTGGGTCTGGGACAGACTATACTCTCCCAGTCATCACTGTAGATGCTGAAGATGCTGGACTGCATTGCTATCACCATCATTACAGCTGGCCTGTCACAGTGATCCAGCCCTGAAGAAAAACCTCCTGGTGACATTTGGCTGCCTTAATACAGGGGCACAGCTGCTTAACCTTAGGTCAGAGCAGTGACTGCTGTCTTGTCAGGACTGAGCTCTGTTGCCCCACCCCCACCCCCACTGCCTCCTTCATCCCAAGCCCCACATCGCTCACACATTATATTCTCCCAACAAAGGCAGGGCAGAGAGCTGAGGATACTCCCAATACATAGAGATTTGGGGGAATGTGGGAGGGAGATAAACAAGTTGGAAATTAATATTAATATTACAAAAAGGTGCAGAATTCTTCATTCTATCCCTCATGTGTACATTGGAGAAACAAAACTGTGGGTTTTACTAAGAATGACAAATGCTGGCTCATTTTGATCCAAGCCTTATACTCCTCAGGTAAATCAGGCAGCTAGGTGGCACAGCCCGAAGTCAGGAAGAATCCTTTTCTTGAGTTCAAATCTGGCCTCAGACACTTATTGGCTGTGTGTATATAGCTGGGTGCCTGTTGTTGTCTCTCGCTGACTGGGTCCTTGAGAACAAAGGGATACTCACAGAGTAAAGGTAAGGGCCTACAGCAAAGTCTATTATGCTTCAGGTGAAGTAAAAAGAAAAAAATAAAAGCAGGGGTAGCAATCCTGATCTCACAGAAAGCAAAAGCAAAAATTGATCTCATTAAAAGAGATAAGGAAGGAAACTACCTCCTGCTAAAAGGTACCATAAACAATATGCACCAAGTGTTATAACATTCAGTTTCTTAGACGAGAAGGTAAAGGAGTTATAAGAAGAAATACATAGCAAAACTATACTAGTGGGGGATCTCAACCTCCCCCTCTCAGAACTACATAAATCTACCTGTAAAATATACAAGAAAGAAGGTAAGGAGATGAATGGAATTTTAGAAAAGTTAGATACGGTAGACCTCTAGAGAAAATTGAATGGGAATAGGAAGGAACATATCTTTTTCTTTGTAATATATGGCACTTACACAATTGACCATGTACTAGGGCATAAAAACCTCGCAATCCAATGCAGAAAGGCAGAATATTAAATGCATCCTTTTCAGATCATTGTACAATCAAAATTACATGCAAAAAGGACCGTGGAAATATAGAATAAAAATTAATAGGAA